AGTTATTTAGAATGATAAGTGCTCTCAGGGCTCCTCATGGCTGAGTTCCCTATATATTTTCTTTTTAATGTATTAAAGTTAATGAACACGTTATACTCATGTATTATTTCCTTAAATAATAAAATCCACTTTTACAATGTGTAAATAATAGAGACACCAGAATGAGGTTGATTGTACCAGGACCTTAAACCTGACGGTGGGATGCCCTGCATCCAGAGGAGCAACACCCAGGGCAGTAGTGTTAGCGCTTTCTACTCTAACTGCGTGGCCAGTTAATATGCTGTTGCTGTTTGTTTTGTTTTAACAATGTGACTGAAGACAATATTACATAAGCTTTTATAAATTTTTATTTTTAGAAACTGCAACTCCAAGACAAGGAAATATGTATACTTTGTCAGAAGACGGTTTATCCAATGGAGTGCCTAGTAGCAGACAGGCAGAGTTTTCATAAATCCTGTTTCCGCTGCCACCATTGCAACAGTAAACTGAGGTAAAATGTTTTGTGGTCTGGGGCACAAATATCTGAAGAGTCTGCAGTATACTTATAACATCATGTCTCTAGAAAGATGTCAACTTTTCCAGATCCTGTTGCCATCAGTTAAAACAACACCAAACAGGAATGTGGTCATGTTCTGTTATGTGTTGCTCAGGATGGCTGTGACCTTTTTCCTTTTGACATTTTGCTTTCTTAATCAAATCCAGAAGGGTCCCTTTTGTCCCAGCATGGAGATCACATAAATAAGAAAAGTCAAGTGTTACTCTCACCACCACCAACCTGCCCCAGTGGCATGCTCCATAGTGCAGGGGGGAATGATCTTTCTAAAATGCAAATCTGAGAGCCCTTCTCAGTTTAAAACATATAATGGCTTCCTCTCTCCCCAAAATTAACATCTAAATATGAATTAAAAGGCACGTCAAGATCTTGTCCCTTCTCATCTCCCAACAGCCCTTCCTCCTGTTGCATGTTACTTTTCATGAATTTCTTTCAGTTCCTCAAAATCATTATTTTTCTCTCTCACATCTAGCTGGTTCCAAATGTTATTGCTGCTCCTTGGAGGAGTTTTCCCATGCCTCTCTCCCAGCTCTCCACCCAGCTAATAACCACTCATTCTTCAGATCTCAACTGAGACTTTATGTCTTTGACGAAACCTGCTTTAACCCCCCTATGTGGATCACAGCATCCCCTGTGCTTGCCCCGTTCTTAACACAATCTAATGTAGTTGTCACTGGCTAGGAAATGTATTAATGTTTGTCTTGCCAACACCTAGTAAACGCAGATATACAATAAGGACTCAAAAATATTTACTCAATGACTGCTATTTTTAAAAATCATGATATAAAAACCCACAAATACAAAAAAAACAAACAAAGCAAGTATGTGGCTCACTAAATTATTATAAAGTGAACATATTGTAACCACTATCAAGGTCAAGAAATATGACATTGCTAGTCATTCCAGAAGCTCCTTCCTCCCTGGGCCCCACCCAAACACAACCTATCTCTTGCATGTGAGTAAATGGTATCCTTTGTAGTAATTGTTTCCTTGCATTTTTATAGTTTTATTTATCCAAATGTGCTTTCCGAGATTCTATACTCTAGTTTTGTCCGTTTTTAAAACTCTGATATGTCTTTCACGTCTTTTTAATCTATAGACTTTCCATCCATTCCTTTCATTTCTTACAATCTATTTGTGAAGGACCCAGGATATTTGACTGGTAGAGTTTTCCACAGTCTGGAATTGCTGATTGCACGCTCACAGTGCAGTTCACATGCTCCTTTACCCTTCGTATTTTCAACAGACTGTCAGCTGAATCTAGGTTCTAGTTTAAACTAAGATTAGATTCCTTTTGAAAGAACATAGGGAGTCTGCTTTTCTCATTTTGTGATCATAGCAGGTATTGAAGCTTAATACCTATATCCATTAATTGATGTTTGCAAAATGCTGATACTCTAATTTTGTTCTTCCTTTTTCATTATGAGAATACTTTTATGGAAGATGCTTCCCCTCATTTGCTATTTGGTTACACAGGGGTACAACTGATAAAGGAAAGGCACAATAAGTACATAATTCTTTCCCTTTATTTACCAGTTTTGTCAATGTATGAGTTATTTATTTAACAATTTAATGTAATGGTTTCTTACCACCTAGAGATAACCACTTTTAAAATATTTTAATGTCTTTATAAACTCACAGAGTTACACATATTCGATTGGTTTCAGTCAGATGCAATTATCATGATTACTGAAACTCCAGTTATTCTATCCCTGGCCAGTGGAAGCCACTTCAAGTTGTCTCCTGAGTCCTTCTGACAGGACCTTAGTAGTCTGTGATAGCTTCCTCATTATCTGATAGGACTAGATGTCCCATGTTCCTCTTGTGCATTTACTGGAACCAGTTATTTCTCCAAGCCTTGATTTCCTTTAGTGAGAAATGATATTTCAAGACTACAATCTTGGTGCTCTTTCTACTGGGTTGATCACTATTTCTAAGCTTTTTTAGTGTTAAGAGCTAGTAAATATTTATATATAAAGAAAAAATATATCATGAATTCATAGTGATATTTCCAAATTGAATTCAAAATTGCGTTCCTTTTGCTTAGCCTCTTCTCTATTACATCTGGACCTCCTTTCTTCCACTTCAGGGTTTCCAGTTCTCAAAGGAAAAGGAGATAACAGAATTAGACTCTCCCATATTCATTTGGACAACACGTTTTGGAATCACAAAATTATCAGCACCACTGATTTGATTATCAAAGCATTGAGAAATTGCATTTGCCCCTCTGATCACCCACACCCCATTTTTTAAAATTGTCGTACTATGTCTTTGGTGTCATAGTATGTAGCCAATTCATGTCATATTATCTCCCTCTTTGCCCTCATTTCATCTCAGTTTATAGATAGCAATTTATTTAATGCTTGTCAACTGTCCTTATGTTGACATTTCCATAGTCATTCTGGTTTTTCAAGCTTATTTTCAAGTAGAGTCCTCTGAAAAGGCTCATCGAAACTTTATTCCTTGAGTTCTCACACATTGATAACAATTTGTGATCATTACAATGGAAGGTAAGTTTTGCTGAAAGTAAAATTTTTGGCTTACATTTTATTTCATTGAGTATCTTATATGCATTATTTCTTTTTTTCCTGGCATGAAGTGTTGGAAAGGTCTGATAATAATCTAATTTTCTTGCCCTTATAAGTAATACGGTCTTTTCTTCTTTTTAGATACACAAAGGATTCTTTCTTAAACCTAGTCATTTTATTAGAATACTTTGTGGTATTGGTCATTCTGGATCAATAGTGTCAGTTATTTAGTGTGCTCTTTCAATATGTAGTTTCATACTTTTTTATATTGGGAAAGTTTCCTTAAATTATAGCTTTTTAGTATTTAACTTGTTTCATTATTTTCTTCTTCAGGAGCTCCTATTATCTCTCAAATCCTTATCTCTTTTTTCATTTATGATTATACATTTTCAGCTTTTGATTTTCCTATTTTTCTTAAGATGCTTTCTATGGATTTGCTCTTGTATGTCTTTTAATTTAGTTTTAATTGCTGACATACTTGATTTTTTTTTCCTTTTACTTCTATTTTCTTCCTGATATCTGATACCTGGTTTCTGACTTTTTCTAATTACGATTCATGCTGTTCTTTCAGGTCTTTTATCATTTTCTTAATGTCTTTTAGCTCATTTTGAAATATTAGGTTAAAATTCTGATGTTTTGGGGCTTCCCTGGTGGCGCAGTGGTTGAGAGTCCGCCTGCCGATGCAGGGGACACGGGTTCGTGCCCCGGTCCAGGAAGATCCCACATGCCGCGGAGCGGCTGGGCCCGTGAGCCATGGCCTCTGAGCCATGGCTGCTGAGCCTGCATGTCCAGAGCCTGTGCTCTGCAAGGGGAGAGGCCACAACAGTGAGAGGCCCGTGTACGGCAAAAAAAAAAAAAAAATTTTTATGTTTTTTTTTTGTTTGTTTGTTTTTTTTTCCTTGCATTATGCGGGCCTCTCACTGTTGTGGCCTCCCCCATTACAGGCTCCGGACGCGCAGGCTCAGTGGCCATGGCTCACGGGCCCAGCCGCTCCGCGGCATGTGGGATCTTCCCGAAACGGGGCACGAACCCGCGTCTCCTGCATCGGCAGGCGGACTCTCAAGCACTGCGCCACCAGGGAAGCCCAATTTTTATGTTTTGAGAACACATTTTTCTAGCATGTTTTCATTGTCTGCAATGATATTATAATGCTCTTTATTCTTTCATTTCTTATAATAACTTTATATACTATTTGGCCTTGATACTTTCCTGTTGCTCATTTTTATATGGAATTAATTTATCCAAATCTTGGATGGAAGCAAAATTCAGGATGGTTTTCCCACCTTCACAGAACTGCCTCTTCCGGTTTTCATATACTGTTCAAAAAAGTATGGTGGCTTGACTTCTTGGATTTCCTGCCTTGGATCCTCTCCCCCATGTTGATTGGGACCTTCTTTTCATTTCTGTCATCATTATCCAACTCAATTTTGATTCCATTCCCATAATTGTTTTTCTCAGGGTAGAGTCTTGTTCTAAGAGGGGATCTCAGTGGGTCAGTTTTGAGTTTGATTTCTCTAGCCTCTTCAGTCTTTCCTACCACAGGGCCTTTGCACTCACTGGCTATTGAAACGGGCAAAACCCCTCCCAATTTCAGCTGCTGCTCTCTGATTGGCATGTGACACTTTCCAGGAAATACTGATTGCCTATTTTGTGGTCTCATATTGTCAGGACCATTAGACATCTTCATTTCTCCCTCGACTGTCACCCATACAGATGCAACTATCATGCTAGTCTTGTAGATGTTGTTGGTTTGTCCTTACCTCCTTGTATTTTGGGGTTGGTGAGGATACCTTGTCACTTAGTTTTGTTGTAATTTTATCCATGGGTTTTAAGTTTTGCTTTCTGTTTTTATGTGGAGGTTCAGAAATATTCAGAAAATGATGCTGCTGCCTTTGACTAAATTTGATTTTAATTTTAACAGGCATTCTATTTGTTAATCTCTCCAAAGAGACAAGATAAAAAATTGCATAGACAAGCTTTCCAATTCATTCAAAATCCAGTTAACAAGAAAGCTCAAATAGTTGATTTTTGCATGTATGCTATTCAGGAGTTATTGAAAGCTGAAACCCCTCACACAATTCACTGAGTTAGCAAAGACTTAGTCCTATCATTTTACACCATCTATAACTGCATATGCATTACACTATAATACCTATTATACCAATACCTGACATACAGCATGAAATTCTAAATACTCCGAGACAAGTATCATGTAGGGCATTAGTGGTGACTATTATCTAACAGGAATGTTCAATTAATAAGCACATTCCTATTGCCAGTAAGTTAATTGTGCTGAATCTCTGACTCATTCTTGAAATAATCAATTCCCTAATTCCTTATGAATTTGCAGTGTATATTTAGAATGTTAATTTTTTTTTTTCTTTTTGGCAGTTTGGGAAATTATGCATCGCTTCATGGACAAATATATTGTAAACCTCACTTTAAACAACTTTTCAAATCTAAAGGAAATTATGATGAAGGTTTTGGACACAAACAGCATAAAGATCGATGGAATTGCAAAAATCAAAGCAGCTCAGTTGACTTTACTCCCAATGAAGAACCAAATATGTGTAAAAACAATGCAGAAAATACCCCCATGCTTGGAGAGCTTAATAAACATTTAGATGCTGGTAACAGTGAAGGGCAAAGGGATGACTTGAGAAAATGTGGGGAGAGGGGAAAATTAAAAATCATTTGGCCCCCTTCCAGGGAGATGCCTAAGAAAACCTTCCCCCTTGAGGAGGAGCTCAAAATGAGTAAACCTAAATGGCCACCAGAAATGACAACCTCTACATCTGCTGAATTTAAAAGTGAGTCGCTGATAGAACACATGAAAACTGTGGAAAATAAAGGGCAAGAACAAGATAACATTTCTTTCCTGCAACCATGTCTGCAGCCCATCCACATGTGTCAGAAAGTGGATGTTACAGGAATCAAAGAAATGGAAATGTATGAAGCAAGAAAAGATGAGAAGAAGGAAGGAAGTAAGAATGTGCAAGATAAGCTGAATGAGCCCAAAGATACAAAGAATAAGAGGAAAAGTGAAATGGATCTTCATGACAACAGTAATGTGGTTGTGCAGAGTGCTGAGAAGGAGAAAAATGAAAAAACTAATGAACCTGATGGTACAGAAGTTTTACAGGTTACTAACACTGATGATGAGGTGGTGCCAGAAAATCGTAAAGAGAATTTGAATAAGAATAATAATAACAATTATGTAGCAGCGTCATATCTGAATAATTGCAGGCAGAAGACATCTATTTTAGAATTTCCTAATCTATTGCCACTGTCAAGTGAAGCGCACTACACTGCAAATGAATATCAAACTGAAAACTTAGAAAATGCTTCTAGAATCTCAGAGTTACGTGGTGTATTTGAATCTGAAAAGACTTACTCGGGGAATGTACTGGCTATGGCTCTTGATAAACAGACTGACAGAGCTACTGCTGGCAGTCCTATGCAGTCTGTCCCTAAGTCAGGCCTCAACGACAGGATCACAGTAAAGGGGAAAAGGTCAATGCCCTCTTCTGATACAAATATCTTAAATATCAAAGGAAACCACTCAAATAACAAAAACCTACAGTTCTTCTTTTCTAACACTGTGAAAATTGCTGCTTTTTCCACAAAGAATGAGAACATTTTTAAGAGTAATTTAATAGATTCTGTAGATCAAATTAAAAACATGCCATGTTTGTATCTAAGAGAATTGGAGAAGGGCATCAGACATCGGCATGGTGAAACAATAGGAGCAGCACATATTAATGGAAACACAAGTTTTGATGCTTCAAGCAGTGAATTTACAACTGAGCCTCCATTTCCCACGGTGGAGGTCCAGTTTGAACAACTCACGGTGGAAGAGCAAATTAAAAGGAACAGGTGCTACAGTGACACTGAGTGAAACATCTCTGGCCACTTGCAGTCTGCACTCAGGCATCGAGAAATATCAATGCCCTGAAATAGGACTTTGGGGATTCTGATAACCTTTTGTTGAACTTGTAAACGTTCAGAAATCTCATGTCTATCACAATGGAATATTCCTTGTATTACACTATACGTTGTTTTTCATAATTGGTTTGAATCTGAATGGAACGAAGAGATGAAACAACATGGCTCTGTTTTCCTGTCAAACGGCACTTTGATAACATCACTGGTGACATTCTATACTGCTGACATTTATCACTGTTCTTAAACTTCCTCTATAATTTCTGCTGAAATAAAATTAAACCACCTGGGGTGCAAACCAAAACACTTGTGTTTCTTTTTTCCATATATATTGTCATTCTAAGTATGTATGTTTTCCATGATTTAGGAAGTATTTGTCTTGGGCCAAATATTTAATACACACACACACACACACACACACACTCCTGGAAAAATTCAGTACTAAACCAAAGCTGCAGTATTGTTAGAAAATATAAAATATTCTTTCTCTTTTTTGCTCTTTCTGTAAAGATACAAACAGTACTGTGGTTCTTTAATTAATTACCTACATTAAACTCTCATGGAACCTGTCTATAAACATGTAATGACAAATATCAGTTTTCTTCAAATTAATGTGGAGTCCATACTTAGAAATCAAATGAACTGGAAAGGTTTTAGAAGTTACTTAAATAAATTATGCCAATTGCATTTTTAATTGCTTACTATATGCAATTGATAAACATACCAGCGATATCACTACATTTTGTCAGATTTTTTCTTATCCTAATTAATGGGTATTAATTTTTTCTGTTAGGAAAACAGAAGATTTGGCTTCTGAATTTTCTGCTGAACTTGCCTTTCCTCAAATGCATTTGATGATTCTAAGAAGAAAACTAACATGAATATAAATGAGCTGCTTCCTGGTGATATAGAATGTACGTATATGAAACAGGCCCTATCCCATATTTTCCTACATAAGCACAGACCACTGCCTGTCCAAACCAAAATGCAGTGTTGAAAACTCGCTCTTTTTAGAAATTATAACGATTCTCTCTTGTTAGTATGTTCTCAACAGATACCTGAGACATTATTAGTTTGCTGAGGGCTGCCATACAAAGTACCACATAGTGGATGACTTAAACAAGAGAAATTTACTCTCACAGTTCTAGAGGTTGGATGTTCAAGACCAAGGTGTCAGCAGGATTGGTTTCTCCTAAGGCGTCTCTCCTTGACTTACAGACGGCTGCCCTCTCACTCTGTCCTCATATGGCCTCTCCTCTGTGCAGGTGCACTGCTGATGTCTCTTCCTCTTTCTGTAAAGAGACTAGTCATATTGGGTTAGGGCCCCTCTCCGAGGACCTCATTTAACCTTAATTACCTCTATAACGGCCCTACCTCTAAATAGAGTCACATTGGGGGATAGGGCTTCAACATATACCTTTTATGGGGACATTTTTACTCAATTTAATTGAATACTGTGAGAGTCTGCCAAGAAAATAGTAAGCTGTGGGGCTACAGTAGCAAAATTATTGTTTAAATTGAATTAGTGCACCTTTGCACTGCTCTTCATATATTCTTAAAGACACAGCATTATACCTACTATCATATATGCTGAAATTACACAAACGTTTCCATAGAGAAAAAATAATTTATGAATGATCATGACATAGTATCTTAAGATATAGTTTCTTAATGTCAGCTGTGCTTTTACGAAAGTGCCTTTCTTTATAAAAATTCTACCTTGGGACTCTGCCCACTTAATCTTTGTAGCCCAGTCCACTGTTCAGTTATGTTAAAACTTGGGATTAAAATAAGCTAAGGTGCATATCAGGGAAAACAATAGAAAAATATGAATTGTTCTTCTGTTTACCCTTCATTCAATCAACAACATGTTGTTTTAAAATCTTCTTTATCAGAAATATCTTAATTATTGACTTCATCACCTTCCTTAGATGACATGTAAGACTTTTTAAAAATTCAGATGTACTTAGAAGTCCAAATATTGTTTTATTTAGTAATGAGTATTGTTTCACTCTATGACAAAATCTTTCAGCTAAATAAATAGCAAGCTTTAGGAACTAAAGTACAGACAAACACACAAATCCAAAATACAGCAAGTTTTCTTATTGTTGCAGACGGTATCAGTTTGCTGGGGCTGCCATAGGTAAGTACTACAGACTGAATAGCTTAAACAGCCAGAAATTTATTTTCACACAGTTCTGCAGGCTGACGTCCAAGATCAAGTTGGGAAGTTGGTTTCTTCCGATGCCTCTCTACTTGGCTTACAAATGGTCATCTTCTTTCTGTCATGGTCTTTCTTTTGTATGGGTCTGTGTCCAGATTTCTTCCTCTTATAATGACAGTTATACTGGATTAGGGCCTACCTTAATGACCTCATTTTACATTAATTATCACTTCAAAGACCCAACCTCCGAATGTAGTCACTTTTCCAGATACTGGGGGTTAGGACTTCAACATATTAATTTTAGGGGGACACAATTCAGTCCATAACAGCAGTAATCCCCTTTCACCTTGAGTCTTTTTAAAATACATCTATTAATATTATGAAACAACTTCCCCAATAATTTTTCACTTGGGATTTATATCACAGAACTATTTCATATATAGATTTATGCTATAAAAATTAATATTTCCAGGAAAATAATTCTCTTTCAAAGGAATCAAACTGGGCTCATGATAGACCAAGTGCTTTACCGGAGGAGGCTGTATGATGGCAGAGCTTAGCATGTAAGGGGTTTTGCATTATATTTTCAAGACCGGACCTTCCAATGAATCTTATAAAAATGTTCTGTTACCCAGAAAACTGTGCTGAATTATCTTTTTCAGCTTCCACACGATCAACCCTTGTGAGAGATTTGGAACTCTAGGCAGCACATTCTTTGGTTTAGGACAATGGTTTTCCCACAGTGCAATAATACTGCAGAATGCACACCTACTACCCAGTCCCTAATGTGCAACCAACATGTGCAGCTGCCATATTTTTCCCCAGACTAACAATTCTCTATAAACATCTCTAGAGTAATTTCTAAAGGCACATTAATTTTTTAAGGAACTGGAAGATAGAAAAATAATACTTTCTCTGCTATGTTTTAGTAACTGGCTGCTAGTTACTATCCAACTGAGGAGGAGAAATTTTTTCCCATTGCTAAGAAAATGAACTTATAGAAAGACAATCACAGATGTTGCAGTGAAAGAGAAGAGCAGTGCATTTTCTCCTCTCTGGAAATGCTGTTGAGAACCAAGGGTGATTTCCATATCTAATGTAAAAGTTTAAAAATCTGCAGGTATTAACGGTAATATAAAATCTTACTTTAGAAAAATTGAATTTACATGGAGTTCAGAAATAGGCAATGAACGTAATACTCAGATCAAAAATAAGAGCCATGAACAAAAACAGGAAGATAGAGCAATGGAACAGGATAGAAAGCCCAGAGATAAACCCACGCACATATGGTCACCTTATCTTTGATAAAGGAGGCAGGAATGTACAGTGCAGAAAGGACAGCCTCTTCCATAAGTGGTGCTGGGAAAACTGGACGGCTACATGTAAAAGTATGAGATTAGATCACTCCCTAACACCATACACAAAAATAAGCTCAAAATGGATTAAAGACCTAAATGTAAGGCCAGAAACTATCAAACTCTTAGAGGAAAACAGAGGCAGAACACTCTATGACATAAATCACAGCAAGATCCTTCTTGACCCATCTCCTAGAGTAATGGAGATAAAAACAAAAATAAACAAATGGGACCTAATGAAACTTCAAAGCTTTTGCACAGCAAAGGAAACCATAAACAAGACCAAAAGACAGCCCTCAGAATGGGAGAAAATATTTGCAAATGAATCAACTGACAAAGGATTAATCTCTAAAATTTACAGGCAGCTCATGCAGCTCAATAACAAAAAAATAAACAACCCAATCCAAAAATGGGCAGAAGACCTAAATAGACATTTCTCCAAAGAAGATATACAGACTGCCAACAAACACATGAAAGAATGCTCAACATCATTAATCATTAGAGAAATGCAAATCAAAACTACAATGAGATATCATCTCACACCAGTCAGAATGGCCATCATCAAAAAATCTAGAAGCAATAAATGCTGGAGAGGGTGTGGAGAAAAGGGAACACTCTTGCACTGCTGGTGGGAATGTGAATTGGTACAGCCACTATGGAGAACAGTATGGAGGTTCCTTAAAAAACTACAAATAGAACTACCATATGACCCAGCAATCCCACTACTGGGCATATACCCTGAGAAAACCATAATTCAAAAAGAGTCATGTACCAAAATGTTCACTGCAGCTCCATTTACAATAGCCCGGAGATGGAAACAACCTAAGTGCCCATCGTCGGATGAATGGATAAAGAAGATGTGGCACATATACACAATGGAATATTACTCAGCCATAAAAAGAAACGAAATTGAGCTATTTGTAATGAGGTGGATAGACCTAGAGTCTGTCATACAGAGTGAAGTAAGTCAGAAAGAGATAGACAAATACCGTATGCTAACACATATATATGGAATTTAAGAAAAAAAAAATTGTCATGAAGAACCTAGGGGTAAGACAGGAATAAAGACACAGACCTACTAGAGAATGGACTTGAGGATATGGGGAGGGGGAAGGGTAAGCTGTGACAAAGCGCGAGAGAGGCATGGACATATATACACTACCAAACGTAAGGTAGATAGCTAGTGGGAAGCAGCTGCATAGCACAGGGAGATCAGCTAGGTGGTTTGTGACCACCTAGAGGGATGGGATAGGGAGGGTGGGAGGGAGGGAGACGCAAGAGGGAAGAGATATGGGAACATATGTATATGTATAACTGATTCACTTTGTTATAAATCAGAAACTAACACACCATTGTAAAGCAATTATACCCCAATAAAGATGTTAAAAATAAATAAATAAATAAGAGCCATGAGAGCATATGAGAGGTACTGAAGAATTTGGAGTCTCAGTCCCATGGAAATTATTTCTAATAGAAGACAAGAAATATTTTTGGGTACATATAATCTAAAAGTAATTTAATCTCAGATTTGATGGAGTCTTTTGGAAAGGCTAATTTAAGCTACCTAACAAGGTTCATTTACCATGGATATTTCCCCCCTAAAATATTATGAGAAATTTTAAAACTTTAGGTATTTGTATGCAAATGAAGTGATAGAGGGAAAGTAATAGTTGTAGATTGTCTACAATGGGATCATTATCATTATCTTTTAATATAGTACCTCTTTGTAGAAAGTAAACTGATGGATAGAAAGCCTGACAAATATAGACTGTGGTGCCCTAGTCA